TAGTTATCTCTGGAATGATGTAAAAACGAGCGTTCTTGCTCATTTTGCTTCCGAGAAACATGCAAAACGGGACGGAAAACATGAAATTTTGCAATGATCTTGCGCCACCCTTGCACAAAACGACGATCATTTTTCTAATTTCATAGACAACAGAAGACTGTATTTTTTCTACACAACCCCCCTCCCTTGACTTTAAAGCTGGATCCGCCCCTGACATCAAGTATAATGAATAGGAATGAAGCTTGAACTGACGGTGAATTAATCCAACAAAAATGGTCCTTGTGTAGACTCTGTAGAAGCTTAACCCACCTGGCTATTTTGTAGTCATCATATGTCAACACGTCGCCACTACCAAATACTGGAACTGGATTAGCGTTGATAGCCACCTGTCTGATATACTCCCAGTCGGCTGATTTAGTGTACCTCTGCTCCCTTGATCGACCATGAATTGTAATCATTGAAGCGCCCCATTCCTTCAACTGCGGAGCCTTCAAGTTTAAACTGTTACATTTTATTCAGATTACTTTTGCCATAAACATACTAATTTATGAGTAACGTTTTCATCCTTGTAAGCGCCTGTCCGCGCTTTTACCGTCATAGGAATCGAAAGAATGGTACTCAAGTTCCTCACGCACGACTCTAGAATTTTCGGGCGTATCAATAATCCGCTTCCTAAAATACTTTCACATTCAATCAAAACCGAATTCTGGCTGTAGAACTAATGCTTGCCGCCTCCTCTTTTGAACACCCAGTCGATGGGACAGCCCAAATTCAAGTCGATGAAATCAATGTCGCACTCCTTTTCCAACATTTGTCCGCATTTGACTAGCATGTGCGGGTTGTTAGCTGCCAGTTGCACTCCGAAAATGTCTTCTGTGTGATGTCTCTTCATTAGAGCCCATTCTAAAGAAAAGTCAAGGTACCGTTCCAGTTCTACTACATTTCCAATCTCGCTCCAACCTTGAGGCATCCCCTGCAGCAAGCTTGAGCACATCGCCATTTCGCCACAAGTTATTTCCGCTCCAAATTCTTTGCATATACGTCTGAACGGCAAATTTCCAACGGTCGTTAAGGAAGCCAAATACAATTTGTTGGCCCAATCGATTTTCTTTTTTTCTTGCGTCCTTAGAGAAATAATATCTTCGTCTGTTACGGCGCCGAATGTTTTCTTGCCGGGATGGACCAACAAATTAATCTTAAAGTTATGTGTTAAGAGTTAAATTAATGTGTTCATACAATTAGCCACCGCCAACGCCAACTTACCTCATCAGGAGTTGCTTTAACAGCTTTTCTATTATAACTATCTATAAGCTTATCAGCCAAATCAAAGTTGTAGGTTTTCTTCCTTAAAGCCCATTGGACACCTTTTTCCAATTGGTTCTTAACGTATGGTCCCTTGTTAATATACTGTTCATATTTTTCCTTATCAACGACATTCCGTCCGCTTACTGCCGCAATGTGACTTTGCCCAAATCTACATGCAAGACCTCTAGAGCACTTGCCTGATATTTGAAAGCTGTAACATACAGGACCAATGTCTGCTGGCTTTTTCCTCAGATACTCTTCAATGTTGTGGCTACCAAAGCATTCCTTGCGAGGACAGGGAGGCACTTCTTCCCCTTCCTGGACATGGACCAATAAGTCGCAAAGAGCATCACTCGTATTGTGGTTGTAAGTGCGTCCCCGCTTCTTGTTTTGGCCTTTCAGCTTCTTTGGGTTGCCCCGAGCCCTTTTCGGTTGTGATTGTCCGTCCTCCCCCTCAGTCCTTTCGCTATCTACAGCCTCTTCGGGTGCTTGGCCAGTTGTTGTTTCGTCGGGACGATCGACGGCAGCTTTATCTTTGTCGGAGACATGGTTCAAGTTCAGCTGGCGTTCTTTTTCCGGCAAAATAAATCTGAAATTTATCAGACGGTTATCTGGGTTTGCATGTATGAAGAAGTAAGTTTCCCTTACTCCGGCTTAATCTGACAAACTCCTGCAGTATCCATCAGTAAATCCAATTCAATTGAAATTTTGGGGGACGACTGCCATTACTCTACATAACCTCGTACAATATCGGGGTTGGAATCACAAGTGTGCGTCTTTAGCCGCGAAGTATTTAAAGCTTAAAACGAAAAGGAATGTCTATTTACATATTTGGTTTGCTTAACCATTATTAAAGAATGAATTAAGTTGCAACATATTAGAGAACGTAAAATTCTCGGATGAATTTCAATCGTAAAACATACAGGCCTTTTCCATTTGGCAGCATTGCCTGACTTCCCTTCACTGGTGTCACAGACTTGTGTATTTGTCAAAACTCACATATGGATTAAACCGATTGCTTTATTTATAAAATATCACTGGTTAAACCTAAAAATGTACATTCTGTAAAATTTAAATCATTAGCTTGGAATCAGAACAATGAGTGTGACACCCAAGTTGGACGATCTGGTCCAGTCAGTGTCTCTGTATACTAGGATTCCAACCATTTTCCACTTGTATTTACTGCCGTTTCTGCTACTCTACTCAGTATGGATGTATTTATGGATTGGATTGTGGGGATTTTCGGAGCACTATGAAGGGGGTTTTGTCGGTATCGCCGCCATTGCCTGTGTACAAATACTGGCCAATTTAGCTTGTTATTGGTCAGTTCACATAAAGTGTTTTTTCAGCTGCAAGAAGGTGACAGGAGTGTCCGGGTTTCCAAGTTCAGGTTTGCTTATTAATTCGCTGTGCTTTCAGGAAAAAGACCCGTTGAAGGCGACAATAGCCAAAGTCGTTCCTACTGCTAACAATGGCAGCTCGGAAATTGTTTGGATCAATAAAATACAGGTACATTCTAAAACAACTGCGAACCTGCGATGGATCTTGGAGGCCCAAGTAATGTTCAAGAGTTTTTTTTTGTATTTTAGCTTCCTGATCAAGATCAAATGATATACTTTATATTTCAAAAGACCAAGTATGTATGGGACGATAACAAGAAAACATTTAAAGGCGTTGAATTTCCCATTCATAAATCATACGCGGAATACAACACTTGGAAAGGATTCCAAGAAGACGCTGACGCAAAGCAGGCTGAAGTAATTTACAGCAAAAATGATATGGACATGGTGGTGCCAGAATTTTCAGAACTGTTTACGGAAAGAGCTACGGCCCCATTTTTTGTCTTTCAAGTTTTTTGTGTGGGCTTGTGGTGCTTAGACAAGTACTGGTACTACTCAATCTTCACCCTGGTTATGTTGGTTCTGTTTGAGTGCACTCTGGTTCAGCAACAATTACGAAACATGGCTGAAATAAGGAAAATGGGAAACAAACCCTACAATATATTAGGTGGATATGGGACTCTGTCGCAAACGCCTTACGTTATGAGTGATTTGATTCTAGTCTATCGCAATAGAAGATGGAGGACAATGCCAACAGATGAACTTATACCAGGAGACATTATTTCCATAGTGCGGTGCCAAAAAGATAATCTAATTCCATGCGACGTTCTATTGCTAAGAGGTTCCTGTATAGTTGATGAAAGCATGTTAACTGGCGAGTCGGTGCCGCAAATGAAAGAGGCCATTGAAACATGCGATCCAATCAAGATTTTGGACCCTGACGTCGATGGAAAGTTTCATGTGTTATTTGGTAAGCGATTACCACCAGGATCGCATTCTAACTGGCTGAGACAATGTTATTTTAGGGGGCACTAAAGTAGTTCAACACACATCTCCTTCCAAGTCGACCAGTGGTTTGCGTCCGCCCGACAATGGCTGCGTTGCTTATGTATTGCGAACGGGGTTTAATACTTCTCAAGGAAAACTGCTGAGAACGATTTTGTTTGGAGTGAAGAGAGTGACGGCCAACAACAAAGAAATCTTCGGGTTTATTCTCTTCCTGTTGATTTTCGCAATTGCTGCAGCTGCCTACGTTTGGAAGAAAGGAGTAGAGGACCCCGAGCGAAACCGCTACAACCTATTTCTGGAATGCACTCTAATCTTGACTTCGGTTATTCCTCCAGAGCTACCCATAGAGCTATCCCTAGCCGTCAATACCTCTATGTTAGCCCTGTCTAAACTTGGGGTGTTTTGCACTGAACCATTCCGAATTCCGTTCGCTGGAAAAGTGGACATTTGCTGCTTCGACAAGACTGGCACTTTAACCAGTGATAATCTGGTGGTAGAAGGAGTGGCTCTTGCAGTGAATGATTCAACAGTGACGCCTATTCAAGAGGTACCCACAGAAACTGTTCAAGTGCTTGCGTGTTGCCATTCTTTGGCTCAGCTGGATGATGGTTTAGTGGGCGACCCTCTCGAGAAGGCCACTATCACTGCCGCCGAATGGACTGTTACAAAGGCCGATTGCGTGATTCCCAAGAAGGGCAAACTGCCTGGCTTGAAGATTTTTGTACGGCATCACTTCTCTTCGCAACTCAAGCGGATGTCGGTGATAGCTGGTTACAATCCACAGGGCTCCACTGACACTGTTTATATCTCCGCGGTGAAAGGGGCGCCCGAAACACTGCGATCCATGTTTGCTCAGGTGGGTGTTCGCTAGCTGTTAACAATTTCCTGTGTTATTTGTGCTGTTTGCAGCGTCCCGAGAAGTACGACGAAGTGTACTTGGAACTATCCAGGCGGGGTGCCAGAGTACTGGCTTTGGGTTTTAAAGAGATCGGAAAGCTTTCCAGCCAAGAGTTGAGAGACTTAAGCCGCGAGTCGATCGAATCCGAGCTCAAGTTTGCAGGCTTTGTGATAATATCGTGCCCGTTGAAAACGCATTCGAAGAGCGCAATTAAAGAGATTCAAAATGCTTCCCACAAAGTGGTGATGATCACGGGGGACAATCCTTTAACCGCCTGCCACGTGGCTGTGGAACTGCAGTTTACCTCGAAGCCAATCTTAATACTTAGTGAAAATGAAAAGAGTGACTTTGTTTGGGAGTCTATTCGCAGCACTGTTAAACTGCCGATAGACCACAAGGTAACGGACTTAACCAGCAACTACGATTTATGCGTTACTGGGGACAGCATCAAACATCTCAAGAGCAACTACGCTGAAAACTTTGTCAAACTGCTTCCTTTCATTACCGTTTTCGCCCGATTTGCGCCAAAGCAGAAAGAACTCGTCATCACTCAGCTGAAGGCTTTAGGGTTCACCACTTTGATGTGTGGCGATGGCACGAACGATGTTGGAGCTTTAAAACATGCGGAAGTGGGTGTTGCCATTCTGGCGAATGCGCCAGAGCGATTGCCTGACCAACGGGAAGAACGCAGAAAGCTAGAGGCTCGCGAAGCTGAGAGGAGGCGAGAAGAGAGAGACCGAGTGGCTAGAGGACCTAGAGCGAACAACATCAGGAACGTCATAGAGCAGAGGGACCGGCTCCAAAGTAGAGTGAACCGAATGATGAAGGAGCTAGAAGAGGAAGATCAGCTTCAAATTGTTAAACTAGGGGATGCTAGTATTGCATCTCCTTTTACCAGCAAATTGTCGTCGATTACATGCAGTAAGTAGTTGAAACATATACAAGGGTCTGATATCGTTATCGGTTTGCTGGTTTCAGTATGTCACATTATCAAGCAGGGAAGATGTACGCTGGTGACCACGTTGCAAATGTTCAAGATATTGGCATTAAACGCACTCATTCTCGCCTATACCCAATCTGTTCTTTACCTGGACGGTATCAAGCTCAGAGACATGCAGGCAACCCTTCAAGGATTCCTATTGGCTGCCAGCTTTCTCTTTATTTCCAGGTCCAAGGCGAGTATTTCTAGTCGGTAGTTTTGGTAGATAACTGTTTATCCGTTTTTAGCCCTTAAAAACGCTGTCAACACAGAGACCGCTGCCAAATATATTCAACTTCTACACCATCTCCACAGTATTACTGCAGTTCAGTGTCCATTTTATCTCCCTAATCTATCTGGTTCAAATTGCTAAGGCGAGAACACCGCTGTAAGTGCTTATCCCCAGTTGAGCAGCAAAAGTTGGCATATCTACGTTTTAGTGAAGAAACCAAAGTGAATTCAACGGGTGCTTCAGCTCCGTTGACCGAAGAGGAGGAATATGAACTTTTCAAACCCAACCTTATCAATAGCACTGTTTTCGTGATATCGCTGGCGCTGCAATTATCCACATTTGCTATTAATTACAGGGTTAGTCTGAGTCAAGTCCATATTGAGGGCATAAAGTTTTAATTCAACGTTTCCACAGGGAAACCCCTATATGGAAAGCTTGAAGGAGAACCGATATTTGTTAGGCAGTATTCTTATATCCAGCGGTGTGGTTCTGGTTTTGACTCTGGGAATCATGCCTGAACTATCAGCTCAGTTCGAAATAATAGACTTTCCAGACGACGTAAGTACTGTTGATGCCTGGGTGAGTTCCGATACATTCTAAAACCTTTTTATTGCAGTTTAAATACGTGCTGATCCTGGTACTATTCGCGGACTTCTTCTCTTCGTACCTGATGGACCGAATATGCTTATGGATTTGCGGCGAGGGCAAAATGAAGACTTCCTAATGAATGATTTTGTCTATTTATTAGATCAATTCTGTTTGGCTCCACATCTAACAAATTCTGTAATAGATAAGTTCTATAGTGTTGAGGCCGATTCATTTTTTTACAAAATTATTTTTGGGTATTTCGCCTCAAAAATTTTTGTCTTTAAAAGAGGCAGAATTTCCTCACGTCTTTTATTACAGATTGATAAATAGTGCTCCTATTTCGCAATAAAAACGAATTATTTATCAAAAAGTAATCAAGAACTAT